GGTCTCCCCCTTCCCGCAGCGTGGCATGTCTCTCAAGGAGGTGCTGCGTGTGCCTACTTGTGTCCAAATCACACGGACCTCCTCCCACTGCTAGCAGCTTCAGAGAAAACTCAAGCCTTTGAACTCAGGATCTGGTGGGAAAGTCTACGAAAATATGAATTAAAGACGTCTTGGCACATAATGTACTTTTTGGCTCCCATGTGTCAAGGATCTTGTGAAGTGTGCTTTGGACAGCTCTGCAGTTCCCCTGAGGACTCTGGGAAGGTGACCCACAGCCCACCAGCCTTGTTTCTAAGTTCCAGATCTTGAAGTTGAAAGGTCAAGGAGTGTGGGATGAGATTAGCAACTAGCAAGTGCTTCCTTGCCAAGGGCTGGCGGGGGCAGGGTGTTTGACACAGAAAGAACCTTTATTCCTACTGGGTATGTTTTTCTGATAATTTTCCTTCGGCTGTTCTTATATTGTAGGGACGATTCCAGGGCTGCTTAGCCCCAGACATCAGGAAATTCAGTTACTTTCCTAGCTACGTTGACAAAAACCTAGAACTTTTCAGAGAGAAGAGGGTGCTGATGTACTGCACTGGGGGCATCCGTTGTGAGCGGGGTTCAGCCTACCTCAAAGCCAAGGTAAGTCGCCCCCGTGGGGCCCTGCAGGCCTGGAGGGGAAGGTGGCCCCACCAACAGCGGTGTGGCGCTTTCCAGCTCCCACCTTCACTCCCTCCCACCCCAGCCGGCCAGGGATTTATTTTCCCCTTGTGTGGTTCCAGCATAGAGTTTGTAAGTACAAAATCTGAAGTTCTTAAGTCCCAAGATGTGAAGAGCACTTAACAGTCTTAGAGACTCATCAAGTACAAAATTAGTTAACATCTCCCTTTTCCTAATCCGTTTGCTTGATCCTGAGAAGAGCAAATTCAAGCGTTACATATCCCAACAGGTGTCTTCCTATATTTAGGGGTCAGCGAAAATAGTTGGGCTTTGCAGGATCTAGAGAGTGAAGGCTGGACTGCTGTCATCACCCATCCCCCTACTAGGCAAGATGTGGCCAGTTGGTTCCTGGACCCCTTGTTCAGCACTTTCTCAGAGTCCGAGGGAGCCAGGAGCCCCTCTTCTGCATTCCTCACCTCGCACCACTCCTCCATGGAGCTTCTTACTGGTCCCTGCTTGTCTCCTCAAATTTCCTCTCGTCTGTCCACACATAGGGCGTGTGCAAGGGAGTGTTCCAGCTCAAGGGTGGCATCCACAAGTACCTGGAAAAGTTTCCTGATGGTTTTTACAAAGGGAAGTTGTTTGTTTTTGATGAACGTTATGCCTTGTCCTACAACAACGACATTGTATCAGGTAGGTCAGCATGGGCCAAGAACCTAGACTCGTGATCGGGCACGCTCTCTGTGTTAACCATTCTGGAGGCAGGCCAGTACTGATTACCTGAAGAATAAAACAGGGAAAAGAAGTATGTGGTACCACCATTTCCAGCAGAGCTGGGGCTATAGCCGTGGAGCAGACAGAACCCTGGACCAGGAGTCAGGAGGCGTGTATTGGGATCCTGTCTTCTCAGTTTACTAGTTAAGAAGTCCTTTAAAATGGGGATGATCTCACTTGCTCTGTCTACCTGCTAGGAGTTGAACTAATAGGCTAAATCAGGGGTCTTAATCTGGAGTCAGTATATAGAATTCAGGGGTTCTGTGAATTTGGATGGGAAAATAATTCTATCTTTATTTTCATAACCCCTCACTAAACGTAGCACTTCCTTCAATTATTACAAGGGTAAGCAACACATCAGTAGTATTAGATGTGACTTTGTCATCAATAGAAATCACCATATTTTCTTATACTATGGTTGCTGCGGATCTCACAATAGCATTTATGTTCATCCTCGCTTCAAAGTGGAAACAGTTATTAGGCCCACCACTAGGTCTTGTTCTTTAATGTGCTAATAAATATCTTACTATGTCATAGATTTTAAAAAATGTTTTGATATTTTGTATTTCTATATAATTGGTTTCCTTTGTAAATCCTATGTATTTTTTTATGCATTTTAAAAACATTTTTCTAAGACAGAGTCCATAGTCTTCACTAGAATGCCAGGTAAATCCATGACACAAAATAGAAGAACCCTGGGGGTGGCCTGGTGGCGTAGTGGTTGAGTTGGCGGGCTCCGCTTCCACGGCCTGGGGTTTGCAGGTTCGGATCCTGGGTGCGGACCTATGCACTGCTTATCAAGCCATGCTGTGGCGGCGGCCCACATATAAAGTGGAGGAAGATGGGCACGGGTGTTAGCCCAGGGCCAGTCTTCCTCAGCAAAAAGAGGAGGATTGGCAATAAATGTTAGCTCAGGGCTAATCTTCCTCACTGAAAAAAAAAATAGAAGAACCCCTAGTTCAGGTGGTCTCTAGACATATGAGGTCTGCACTTTTGAGTGGTGGGTGGGGCATCCCAAGGTGGGAGCTGAACCTAGGGCCAAGGCCGGAGGCAGGGGTGAGCCCAGGAAGCTGTGGTTTGACTGTAGTCTTGAGTCCACACTAACGTGGTACCAGATGAGGGCAGTTAGTAAAAGAAGGAAATAATCCTTAAGAAAGATGTCTCTTGTGCCTGAATGCACAGTTTGGACAGGAAAGGTCACAGGCAGACAGTCCTAGTGGCTATCATATTTTCTAGAACTCCTATGACCAGGGACTGAGATAATTAAGATTTGAGTTTGATTGTCCTCTCCCCTTTCTTCCTGATCTTCTTACTAATGTTAACAGTCATATTTGTGTCTCTTATTGAAAGCTACTTGAGTTGTGTTTTGGAGTTAGCTGGAGTGTAAATTATACATAAGTAGAAAGAGTGGATTTGAGAAATGTTACTGAGGACATGTTAGCAGGACTTGATGGGTACCTGCATGTGAGTGAGAGGAGAGAGAAGGCCCAACAGCAGCTTAGATAACTGGGTAAGGAGACTTGAAGACTGCTGAGGTCGTCGATGGTTACAGGAAGTCAGCAGGGAAAAACGGGCTGAGGAGGTAGATAATGTGAGTTTTAGGAATCAGGTGGTCACGTGTCCGCTAACAAGAGCAGGAGCACGTCAGGCTGGGGAAGAGGGTGCGGGCTGGAGAAGTTAATGTGATGCGGGATCATCTGTGCTCAGGTATGTTGTCTCTCACTGAGAAAGGCAATGATCTAAAGGAAAAGACCATGGAACAAGGGGTGGTCGGCCAGCTTTGGAATAGTTAATGAAAGAGAGAAATGTTACTATCTGTTTTCTAAATGGAAAAAAGAAAAATGGGTCAGTGAATGCTGGAATCAGGAAGACAATTTCCAGAAACAACCTCCCCCCCAAAAAGTGGGGGTGAGGAAGCATTTTTTGTTAGAAGAGAGAAGACTTACTATTTAGAAACCTTCCCGAGGCCCAGCAGGATATATGAGATTCTGATGAGCTCAGAATTATATTTAGGAACTAGAGGAGCGCCTGTCTGTATGCCCACACGTGCATGTGTCTGTAACTAGGGCTTTTCTTTCTTCCCCAGAATGTTCATACTGTGGAGCCCCATGGGACCAGTATAAACTCTGCTCGACTCCCCAGTGCCGCCAGCTTGTCTTGACTTGCCCCGCCTGCCAAGGACAAGGATTCACAGCCTGTTGTGTCACATGTCAAGACAAAGGAAGCAGGCTGGCTTCAAGCCCTACCCAGAACAGCTTTAAAGAGGAATGTGAGTGTACAGCCCGACGGCCACGTATACCCAGCGAACTTGCACAGCAGGTGCAACTCCCCGTGAGCCAAGAGCCAAAGCCTGATATTGGTGAGAGTGGGCCGTGCTTATGTGAGCAGCACCGTCAGCGTTTCCCCAGGCCTTCACAAAGCTAGGTCTGGGGTGACCGTCTTCTGGAGAATATCAAGGCTGCGGCAACAGAGAAACAGGGAACTTGAGTGCTGGCCAGTGCCACCATGGCAAACTGGTCACCATACTGGCCACATGTACTTCACAGTGGGAGGGAAGGGGGAGTGGAGTGCTGACCACTAGCCTGAGACATTATGATTCAGAAGATGCGAGAGCACAGACAAAGGTGAGCTGTGTGGGATCCCAAAGCTGCGGAGGGATAGAGCCTTAAGCCTGATGAGCAGGTCATTCATGCCCTTTCTGTGCCATGCCGCAGGGCTGGTAGTAGCCTGTCCATCTTGATGACAGAAGGGTGAAAACTATGGCCCTGGAGGTGGACTCCCCAGACCAGGCCACTTAAGTCATTTGCCATCCACTCCTTCCGTTATCTCTTCTCTGCCAGCCTGAGAGCACAGATCAGGATCTGCAAACTAAGGCATTTGGCTCACTTCCTGCTTTTGTAAATAAAGTTTTATTGGAATAGCCACACCCTTTCATTTACATATGATCTGTGGTAGAATTAAGTAGTTACAACAGAGAACTTATGGCCTGCAAAGCCTAAAATATTTACTATATGCCCCTTTACAGAAAAAATTTACCATGCTCTGGTCTAGACCAAAAGCTCATCTGATGGAGCAGATGGTCTTAAAGATGTGGCCCACCTTCATTTTTTATTGATATGGTTTCTGTGAGAGATTTTCCCCTAATAGTCTTGCTTCCCTCAACACCCACACTCTTAGCTTTAAAGTACGGTCACGTGTTGCATAACCGACACTTTAGTCAGTGATGGACCTTGTACATAACAGTGGTCCCATAAGATTAGTACCGTATGGCCTAGGTGTGTAATAGGCTTTACCATCTAGGTGTGTATAGGTAAGTACATTCTGTGATGTTTGTACAATGACGACTGTCTGACGATGCATTTCTCAGAACGTATCCTGGTCGTCAAGCGACGCATGACTGTTCTCCTTGATTGAAATTAGCTTGAGGACACTGACATTTGGGAGTAGTTTTTAGATGAGCACCTCAGAATACAAGACACATTCCGAGTGAGGTCACTCAGCACTGCTGAGGTGGTTTCCCAGCCTTCTGGCCAACATGTCAGATGCATGACCGTGTCACACAGGTCCCAAGAAACACATACACAGCCGTTCACAGACCAACAGATTTAATATTATATTGCAGTTTCCAGTGATGCAGAATACAGCTGCAGTTGTGTTTCAAGGAGAAGCTGCGTGGGGATGGCCGTCCCTGCAGCATGGTGCCACTTCTGGGCCCACGTGCAGCCTCAGCAGGCACTCCTTCATAGCGGTGAGGCCCTGGCTCCACCTCTCGTTACCCTGTACCGTCCAGGTCATTACAGTTCAGTGTGCGAGACTTTTCCATTTCATCAGAAGCCTCTGCTCTGCGCTCTGCAGCTTAGTCTGTGCTCATCAGCTCTTTGGCCTGTCCTTTATCATAAGACTTGCTGACTCACTCATGAAAATAATTCCCCAAGCAACAAAAATACTAGTTTAACTGGCACTATGGTATAGTAAAAGGCACAAGGGCATTGTGGCTTAACATTTTTGCTGGATCCTGAGAGGTTCACATGATGTTAAAGGGATCCGGCAGAAACACCAAAATAACATGTTCAGAATAATTATCTTGGGATGGTTTGGCCAGGGTTTTCTAATTCTTTAATATCTGGATTTTCTTCACCATTGGCCTTCAGAGGCTTAATGTACAGGCAGGAAATCAGCGGGGACTTGTCTAATAAGTGATGTGAAAGGTAGTTGAGGTCTGTAAGCATAGCCACAGTGGACTAGAAATTTCTCTCTCTAGTGTTTTACCTCACATAAGCCATTGGCCCACGTGCAATATAGAAAGGTGTTTTCAAGTATTTGGCCATAGGTTTTCACATCCATCGTAAGGCTGGTATTCGATAAGGAAAAAATTCTGACTCCAGTATTGTAAATAAATCCCAGGTGTCCATAAAGAACACTCAGGGAGCTGTTTGTTGCCTGGGATTGGTAAAGAAAGGACGGTTTTGAAACTTGAAATTTCACCACTGGCTTTTTCTACCATTTCCTCATATCCAGCAAAAGGAATCTCGTGTTCTTTGATTCCTGGCAGAGCTCTGTGGCTTCAGTTGTTCTGTCTTTCTCGAGGGAAAAAATTGTGTTCTTGATCCAGTAATCACTTTGGCAGCTTTAATCTTGAGGTTCTTAAAATTTAAAAGAGGGTTAATAAAGAATGATCATCTGTTTGCTAAGTAGGTAAGATCAAATTTGTAATAAAATATTTTGTAATCTTCTACACCATGAGGAAGAGTGCTGTTTGTCCACATGTCACACGTTTGAAGTACACCTGAAACACCACACAGCAAGGCCACCGACACTGGGCTCCGAGGCTGAGTCACTGCTGCTACGTCGTCTTCAGTAAGATCTGCCGGTTCGGGGCTTCTTAGTTTTTAAATTATAACCAGAGTGAACTTCTGTGACTAAAGGAAAACTTCACATTAACCATAGTTTATAAAATTTTCAACTACAATCACTAGTTAACCTAAAACCTTAGTGCATAAAGAACTGAACCACATAAGGGTTTTGTGCCGGCATTTTGCCTTCTGGTTTCCACGGCAGAGCGCAGATTATCGGTAGAACATGTCCAGTTCAAAGGCATGGTCGTCTCCACTGCACATTAGACGCCACTCCGGCACTTGGGAATGATGGGCCCAGTCAGGTCTGCGAGCCTCCTCTTCCTCACTGGAAAGGAAAGGAGATAAGACATAAGCCAGTTGTCCCTGTGCACCGGGAACCACACAGGCTCCGAGAAAGCACGGTGAAGCTTCTCACTAACATTTTGGTTAGGAAAGTCTGACGTCTGTTGTTTTTAAAGAACAGTTTGTCAGCGTTCACTGAGGAGGGTCTGTGATAGTGTGGATTCGTTCATAAATTACTTCTGAATCGCTGGCCACACAGGTATGAAACCTACTTGATCTGACTCCACTGTTTGCCTTTGTGTACAGAGGCCCTGCAGCTGAAGATCCTACTCTCGTCTTAACCTGCTGGAAACATTTCCCCCAGCGCGCTCTCGGAGCTCCTGGCTGCCTCCTGCCTACGTAAACGACTTTCCACCCTGAAGAGGACCCTGCATTGTCTGTGTCCCCTTATGGTCAACGTTGACATTTTCCCGGGGGGAAGACAATGTAAGCTCAGACACTGTTCACATAACACGTAGTTAAAGGCCATAAAGAGGAAAGCACTAGCCAGGAGGCTGCAGGCTGGAGTCATTAGCTTATAGGATGACTGGGGATGGGGGGTGGGGAGTCCCTGTGTTGTAACAGGCGAGAGTGTTTTGACATGAATTACAGCCTCTGACCAGCAGCAATCTAGATGAGCCACTAGAGAAAAGAAAGGTCAAAGAAGTCTGTAGGTGCCAGTAGGTGGTAGTCAAGGAGGCTGCTGGTGTGGCAGGAAGCTATTGCTGAGAGGCAAAAAGTCTGCTTATACTCACATAGCTTCCGGTTCCTGAGCTGACCTGGAACACCTCGGATGGATGCACAGGAGCTGCTACAAGAGCCAAAGCAGCTTGTGCATGACACTGAGCGTACACAGCAGAACCACCAGGAAGGTGTGTTACTCAGGTGGTGGCTGGGAACTGGGGGGCAGGGACGCGAGGGCACACAGGTCTCCCAGTCTGGGGCCTAGAGTTCGCTTGTGCCAGCATGCCCAGCAAGGCAGTCCTCATTACGCCCCTTTTACACTCCACACCTCCCTGGAACCCCTGCAACAATTCTCAGTGTCAGTCCTATGTTATGGATGAGGCAAGAGTGGCAGAAGAGTACATTTCCTGCTCAGAGCAATAAAGCTGGTACCAGACAACAAAGGCTTGTGACTCATTCTCAGCTAAAGTCCAGCGCCTCCCTCAGTACAATCCAGCCCCGTCTAGATGGGTTTACATGTCCACCTCTCATCTGATTCTCACAAGGAGGACTAGCTCCTTTCCGCTGGAGAAGAAAAGAGCCAGGGTCCCTGAGAGGTAGTGGCAGAACCAGGACTGGAACCTGAGTCCCCAGCCCGTGGCTGAAGGCACAGAGAGGGATCCCGTGTGTTTCTCCCCACAGGCCCTCCTGTGTACACTGGGTTGCATCTGCGCCGAGTTCCCTGACACTGGCTTTACAGGACTGGATGGGGAGAAGGGAAAGGCACCCACTCACTCAGGTATTTTCCCGCATTTTAATGATGAAGGAAATTGAGGCCAAGCGAGGGAAGTAACTTGCCCCAAGACACGGTGAGTGAGTGGTAGAACTGCGAGGAGAAACCAAGTCTCCCAATATCCTCCTTCAGTTCAATCGGCTTTTTAATTCCATTAAAGCAAACTCCTCCGCATTGCTTATCATTGCAACAGCCAGAGACTTGTTTATTATCAGAGCCAGAAGGAATTTCGAGTCGTCTGGACCAACCTCTGTCCGCAGCCTGAGCTCCCTCCACCACTTCCCGCCAAGCTTGGACACCTCCATCGTGTTCTATTCATTTACATGTTCAGCAGCATCTACTGAGTGCTATCATGTGCCAAGCACAAGAAGCAGAAATAAAGAGCTTAACAGGGGACCAAGATATGCCAACAATAAGTTTGATAAAATATTACAGGTGTCATGGTAACTGTCTATCCAGTATGAGGCACAATGAGTGAAGTGGTCAGATCTTCTGAGGGTGGCAGGTAACACGTCTGCTGAATCTTACATGATAAAGGGGTGAAGCGTGGGAAAGTAGGAGGAGCATTAGGAGAACGGTCCTCTAAAGGGACGCTTTTGCTCAGGCCACTGGGAGGCACTCCAGCTACTAATATGGCAAGAGGATGGCTTGTCGGGTGTCAAGAGGTGAGTCTGGCTGGCCCTCACCAAGGGGGGAAGTGGAGAGCACAGGCTCTGGGGCCGAACTGCAGTTCAAATCCCACTTCTGCCCAGTGACTGCGGGTACCCTAAGCTGCTGCTCTCGGCCTCTACTTCCTTACTGTAGAATGGGGGTGGTGATAGCACCTACCTCACTGGCTGCTGGGAGCCTCACAGGAGTCAGTGAGATGGGAGGTGTTTAGAGCAGGGCCTGGCACACAGTAGGTGCCATGTATGTGTCAGATCTGATTAGTAAGGGACATGTGAGCCACATCAAGGAGTTTAACCTGAGAGCAGCGGGAGCCCGGAGAGGGTTCTAAGCAGAGGCGTAGGACAAGCTTTGGGATGAGTGCTGGGCGAGCTGCCTGCCCTGGAGGAGGAGCTGGAGGCCCGGGGAAGCTGCAGGACGCCAGGTGACTGTGATGAGGGTTGACATGAGGCAGGCAATGGGGATGGCGAGGAGGTGACTGGCTGGGGTGGCGGCCGCGTAGACAGAGAGGCCCAGATTTCTGGCTTGAATGGCTGTGAGGAAAGTCGTGCCCTTTTCTGAGATGGTTTTGGGGGAAAATGATGAAATGGATTTGGGTTGTGCTGTGTCCGGGTACTTGTTAGAAAGGTCTTCCTTGAAAATACAGTAAAAGAGCGACTTTCCCAGGAAGGGAGGTTCTCTGCTTTTAAACATGTTACTCTCCCTCCCCACCCCACCCTGACACATACAACTGTCTTAACTTGGAGGCTGCAATTCAGATTTCATTAAGTGGAGAGAGCTTCAGTGGCAGATTTACAGGACCTGAAAGCCAGGCTAAGCCTGGCTCTCAGCTATAAATAGTGTGGAGATAGGAGTCACCCGAGGTATCACCGTGGGAAAACGTAGATGGGGATGCATGGCTCCTCCCTAACACCCACTGCGTCCTGGCGCCCTGCTCTATGCCACAGAACACTCTGTAAAGAGCCCAGTGCACAGAGTGGGAAGGACCAAAGGCATGCCAGTAGGATGGGTCCCGGGCAGGATACCTGTGTGCAGAGGCACTGGCTGACCCATGGCCTTGGGGACTAAATGTCCCCCAAGGAGAAGCCCACCTGCCTGGCAGGCAGGCAAAGCCCAAGCAGCACAGAGGCCACAGGCTATGAGCCAGGACAGAGGCAGGTCACAGGAGAGGCTGCTCCCTTCCGCACAATGCTCCCTGCCCCGGGGCTGCACAGCCGACTCTGCTAACAAGCACAGTGGATGGACAGGGCCGGCAGGAGGCTTTCATGATAAAAATGTTCAGCTGGAAACCATGGAAGCCTGTCTCCTTCATCGGAGCATCAAGAGAGGGATGAAAATACCGTGTTGGAAAGAAAGTCGCGATTTCTCTTTTGCAGGAGGGAGCTGAAGCACCGTCAGAATCATAAGCATTTCTTTTACAAAAGTTAGCCTCTGGGCACAAACTTCTTTTTAAAGCTGGAAATCCTACTTCACCAACCAGCACTCAGAATGTTGTGTGTAGTCAGACGATTCTGCTCTAATTCCTTCTGTGGGAAGCCCCAAGGGAGCAGCTGCACATAGTTCCCTGGGCAACCCAGAGGCCCATTTTTCTTACCTGTCATGCTTGTCCAGGCAACTGTCATGGTCCCGCTTCCCACCTGCTTTCATGGCCAAACTCCTGAGCTTGGCATTAAAGGCCTTCGGCTCACAGCCTCCCCACATCTACCCAGCCCCATTCCTTGGGAACACCTCATATACCTGTCGATCATGCTGCCTTTGCCCATGCTGTTCCCTCTGCTTGGAAAGCCCTTCTCTCCCTTCTCTGTGAGCTCCTATTTTTCTTTCTATGTTGACCCCTATGACAGTTCCTCAATCCTTTTAGATCTTTCTGTCTCTCCTATCCTGCATCCTGGGTCCTACCACCCTGTCTTTGCCAGTGCTACCACCCCTGCCAGGAATGCCTCCTGACCTCCCCACGACCCAGCTCTTCCTTTCAAGACTGGCTAAAGGCCCACCCCAACCAGAAGGCTTTGCTTAACTGGCCTCTGTCCTCACAAATCATTTCTTCTGTTCGGATACAGTCTGTAGGCACTCTTGAATTCTTACTCATGCCTTTTCTCCCCTAAAAGGTTGTAAATGTTCTTGAGTCAGGGAAATAGGCTTTCTGCTGCCCCTTATGTCACCTAGCACAGTCCCGGGCACACAAAAGTTGCTTGCTATAACTAACAACTGGTGTGACTTGGCTGAGCCACTGCCTAGAAGGGCACCCCCCCAGTCTTCAGTTTCTCCCGAAGGGAACTGGAGGAATGGGCCTGGAAGTCCTTTCCAGCTCTGGCCTCTAGGGTCCGGCCATAACCTCAGGAGGTCCCTGGTGGTAGGAGTCGGGCCTGGATTTTGGAATCGCAGACTCTCAGGACTGGGAGAGTCCTCAAGGGCCATTTTATCCAACCTCCAGCTGATTCGGGTGTCTCCGCTTCAGCACTCCCAACCTCTGGTCATCTGGAGCCTCTGTCCCCAGAAAAAAGACCTCCAGACCCTCTTGCCATTGGAATACACTAGCTGGGTTAGCCCTGAGATAGGCACCAAGGGGGCACACACAAGCTTAATCTAAGCTGGGAGAAAAAACTGTGAGGCTGCTGCATATCAGGGTAGAACTCAAGGCATTTAAGTGCTGGTTCTGAAGCCAGATCACAGCTGGGCCCGCAGAGTTTAGATTGCCAGCCGCCTTCAACAGTTCAGTGTAGCTGTCACCTCTGTTACACCGTAATAATGATGATTCTTAATTATCTATGCTTGTTCTTATTTTATTTCAAATAAGGGCACTTCAGATAAACCAGGACACTGGGCATGTTTTCATTTGTTTGTTTTATGGGCTTTTCTAGACCTGCAGCTCTAGAAAAAAGTGGCATCTGGAGTGAGCAATACTTTGACAAATGTTTGATGAATTGAGTAACTCAATCTAAAGTGTGTGCGTGTGTGTGGCTCAGTGGTTATCTATCACAGGTTCTGTGAGTACCTGCCTTGTGCATACACACTACACACTCATCTCCACTCGTCCAGGCCTCCGTGTATTCACCTGGCCTCCGATTCATCACTAAACAGGGACACATCTGAATGTTGAGTTGAGCTTTAGTATTAAGCTCTTGGCATTTTATTGAGTGTTAGAAGCAAGCAAACAAAAAAACACGTGTAGAGCAGGCTTGAATTTGATGAAAAACTCCCTGAAGACATTGTCGTTTAGAAAACATAGTTATTTCATAATTCAATCCCAGAAAGAAGTTTTGTTTCTTTTTCTTAAGCTCATTATGCTTCCTTCTCTTCTGTAATAAGAGTAATGTAACTTGATTTGTCTTCCTCCTGCCTCGGTTCTAGGAAACCCATGGCTAAATATAATGATCAATTATGTTAACATATTAGACCTACTCCTTGTCTTGTTTTTTTTTCCTCTTATTTTCCTATAGCCTTATCAGACATACTTCTTTTTGGACACTCTATCAAGTTGCTTTAGCAGCCAGCAGAATACACATAATCAATAACTGCCCATAGAGCTTCAGAACAACTGGCATCTGGAAGGAAGTTGATGACTGATCTCACGTTTCATTCAATTGACTTGTAAACCTATTTGATATATGCTCATAAGAAAGATCGTGACATTTTCTTTTTAGAAAAATATAAAGTATGCCTTTAATCGAGATTAAATTAATGTAACCTGTTTTACTTTACCACGAAGTTGACATTTTCCACTTTTACCTTAAAGGCTCTGTGAAGTCTCCCAGGCTTGGGGTTTGGGTCCTAGCGCTGGTTGGTGGCTTTGGGACCTGAGGCTAGAGCCAGACTGTGTGACTGGAGAGGACTCAGGGCTCAGAGGAGGGTCTTCAGAAGAGGAAAAGACCCACGTGAGCCTGTGCCTCCCACATTCCACCTCACTCAGCTGACGCCACCAGGGTGCTCTGGGCTCCGCCCTGTGCTGCCCTGAGCTTCGCTGCGGGAGGAGAGGGCTCAGCCTTAGCTCCCGCACACAGGGCGCTCACAGTGTGCGCTCACAGCCTCGGGGAGGAGACAGGCACAAACACAGACAACAAGGAAACGTGATCCGCTTGAAGATCCTGCGTCGGGCTCAAGAAGGGGACTCCCGTGGAGAAGTTATGGTATTGAATTTTCCCTGCCACACCCCTAGGACAGGTGGGAAGAATGGCAGGCGGCGGGGTAGGGAGCACGTTTGCACTCACCAAGGTCATTGTTGTTCATCATGGCGTTGGACGCCCGCAGCCGGGGCCCCTGCTGGGTGAAGTGGTAGCCGAATTTGAGAAGCGTTGCGTTTTTTTCCAACATGCTCACGATCTCCATTTCCACTTTGTTGCCCAGGGGCTGGCTCTTTGATCAAGAAAAGAACAATAGTCACCACTCATTCCATTTGTGCAGGACCTAAACCTTCTGTACCGCAGACACCCTGCATGGTGGGTGGGGATCTTAACACCCCCTCCAAGAGCAGGGAGATGGAAGTTTGGAGAAGGTGAAGGCTCACACAACCAGGAACGAACGAGCTGGGATTCAAACCCAGGGCTGCTGGACGCCAAGAACAGATCTTCCCACTGTCCCACAGCAGCCTTCCTAGAATATCTGAGCAGGAAAGAACTTCAAGTCATCTAGTCTTAAGAGGATTTAAAAATCCTACTGCCCAGGCTATACCCCATACTAATTACATCTGAATCGCTGGAAGCGAGACTCAGGTGGCCGTGGTTTTAAAACTCCCCAGGTGATTCCAATATATAGCCAGGTTTGATAACCAGTCATTTAGACTAACCTCTTCAATATACAAATGAAGAAACAGGCCCAGAGAGGGAAAAGGATGTGCCTGAGGTCACGCAGTAAGTTGGGAATGCCAGAGTTAGCTTCCTAAAGCCTCACTCTGATCATATTACTTCCCTACCCCAAAATCTATAGTGATCACCTGACAAAGATGAAAAGAAAAGGAAAACCGACAACACACAATGTTGGGAAGGATATGATGAGGACGTTCATCAGTCTCGTTTATCATAGTGAGAAAAAAAGGGAAACAAACACTGGCCAAAAGGCAGGTGCTCAGATGAGTGGCAGTTCAGCCTTACAATAGAACAGTGCTGGTTCTAAAAGGATGATGCAAAGCTTTGGTCGCAGGCCTGGACAGATGGCCATGAAACAATGCTGGGTAGAGGAAAAAGCCTAGTTACAAAGCAGTCGTACTTTTCTAAAGTTACCTCTTTTGCATACACATACACATGCATTGAAAAGGCCTAGAAGTGTATTGGTGGTGGTGGGATTTGGGGAGCTTTTGCTTCCTTCTTTATATCTTATTGTATTGTTTGAGTTTTCTGTTACCGTAAGATAATGAAAAATAAACAATCTTAAAGAGGTTTGAAAAGACAGAGAAAGCAAGCTACTGTCATACTTAATGGTTAAAGACATCCCCCCTCAGAGCAGGAACAAGACAAGGATGTTCGCTCTCACCAGCATTGTCCTGGAGGTCCTAGCCACGACAACTAAGAAAAGAAATACAAGCCATCTGGAAAGGAGGAAGCAAAACTATTTCTGTTTGCAGATGACACAATATTGTATCTAAAAAATCCTAAAGAATCCACAAAAAACTGTTAGAGCTAATAAATGAGTTCAGCAAGATTGCGGGGCATAAAATCAATATACAAAAATCAGCTGTATTTCTATACACTAGTAACACACAATCCAAAAATGAAATTAAGACAATAATTCCATTTACAATAACATAAAATATACTCAGGAATAAATTTAATAAAAGATAGACTTGTACACTGAAACCTACAAGACAGCATTGTCCATTAAAGATGACATAAATAAATGTAAAAACATCCCATAGTCATAGATCAAAAGACTTAATATTGCTAAGATGGCAGTACTCCCAAACTGATCTGAAGAAGAGGCAAATAGAAACACACACGCCCTGCAATGGCTCCCCACTGCCGACAGCTGCCGCTATTTATGAAGAGCTTACTGTGTCCTCAACGCCTTATACCCAACCTAGCAGATCTCAGTTCATTCCCTCAACAACCCAACAGGATAAGACCCGCCTCCTCCCCAGCCTGGCCCTCAGGGGCCTGCACCGTTTAGTCCTTTGCCGTCCTTTCCTCTCTCAGTCCTTACTCAGCCTGCTTACCCTGGGGGTCTGGTACATGGTACCTGTTGCAGGCAGAGATCTACTTCTAAAAGCTCACGTCCTCCTGCCTCCACATGGAATGCCCCCACCCTCCTGTACCCACCCGCTGATGTGTCCCTAGTGCTTTAATACCCATCACAGATGCCCCCTCCTCAGCCTTTCCTGATTCCCGCCCCAGGAAACCATCTTTCCCCACTCCACACTCCAGTGGCACATTGTATGTCCCTCTCTACTCCCGGCCCGATCCATCTGCCTTATTCAGGTCACCTGCCTCCATATCTGTTTTTCAGTGCACTAGCCACTAGCCACATGTGGCTCTTTAACTTAAATTTTTTTATTGGGGTATAATTGACATATAACATTATATTAGTTTCAGGTGCACAACATAATGATTCGCTATTTGTATACATTGTGAAAGGATCACCACAGTAAGTCTGGTTACCATCTGTCACCATACATAGTTACAAAAAAAGTTGTTTTTCGGGGGCCCGTCCGGTAGCGCAAGCAGTTAAGTGAGCGTGCTCTGTTTCGGGGCCCTGGGGTTCACAGGTTCGGATCCCGATTGCGCACCGACGCACCGCTTGTTGAGCCATGCTGTGGCGGCGTCCCATATAAGGTGGAGGAAGATGGGTACGGATGTTAGCCCAGGGCCAGTCTTCCTCAGCAAAAAGAGGAGGATTGGCAGATGTTAGCACAGGGCTGATCTTCCTCACACACACACAAAAAATTATTTTTCGTATGATGAGGATGTGGGAGATCAAGATTTGGCCACCCTGAAATCTATCTCTTTACCTTGGTTGTTTT